GAATCCAGATTGGGAAGTCTTTGTAAAAGTCCTGACTTTTGCCCTCGCTGGTTTGGATCAGTAGATAGAGCATCGGCCTGAGGACTGAAGGGTCCTGGGTTCGATTCTGATCATAGGGCACATGCCCCAGTTGCAGGCTTGATGCCAAGTAGGAGGCATGGATCTCTCTCTCTCTCTCTCTCTCTCTCTCTCTCTCTCTCTCTCTCTCTTCTCTGAAATCAATAAAAATATATTTTAAAAAAGTCCTGACTTTTGAAAGTCTTTGTAAAAATCCTTTCTTTCTTTCTTCCTTTGTCTGTCCCTTCCTTCCAAGTAGTGTTGGGGGTGGTGCAAACATTAGATAGGGCCTCTAGAGGAGGAACCCCCTGAACGAGGCCCTCTGTGGGAAATTTCCTGTTTCCAATATTTCCAGGTCAAATGGGAGTTGAGATATATTTCCTACTCTATGTCCGAAGTCTGTCTTTCTTTTTGGCTTCAGGTTTTTACTATTCTAGAATCACCTCTTTAGAGAAGATAACAGAAGCATCAATAAGCTCCAGAGAATTACTTACAACATGAAAACTCACTGGCCACACATTGGAAACACATTTCTATGGAACATTTCAGAGAAAACTAATGGGAGAAATTTTTCAAAGAAAAAGAATGCCAGATAATTTCTCAGAACTAATGAACTTAGTTTTAAGATTGAAGAGAATCCATGAAATATCCAATAATACAAAGAACAGAAATAGATCACACAAGAAACATTATTGTGAAATTTCAGAAATTTAGAAGTAAACAAATGATCATAAATATTATCAGAGAAAGAAAAAATAAATTATATATTAGGTATTGGGTTTCAGAACGATATTAGATTTCTTAGTACTCAATATAAGACAGGTAACGATTGGTTGCTTCCTGCGTGCACCCGACTGGAGATTAAACCCAAAACCTGGGTATGTGCCCTGACCGAGAACCTGCCAGCTCCTGGTGTAAGCACCGACGAATTGAGCCCACCAGCAAGGGCTAAATAAAATGTTTTAAAGAATGGAAATGTAATCATTGTATACTACTGGCTTAGCTGTGAAAATGTTTGCTAACCAAGACAATGCAAACAGTAAATACTGACTTAATGAAAATTATA